GTGTTTGATTGTCTCTGCTTATTTTGATTTCGTGTCCCAGATATTTGTAAGTGTCTGTTTGTTGTATGGTATTATTGTCAATAGTTATATTTCCACTCATTACGAGATTTGTTATAATTTTAGTTTTCTCAAAGTTTATCTTTAATCCTGCTCTTTCAGACAGACTTTTAAGCGAATGCATCATAGAAACTGTATCTTGTGAGTTATCTGCGATTAATACAACATCATCTGCAATGGTGTCGCATAAGTGACATGCATCGAATCGCATAAGTGACATTAAATCTAGAAATCGGTCGCGTGACATGGCAGTCAGAAAAATAGATCGACTGTACAAAGGGTTTCGACACCACAAAAAGTGCACTGGTTCCCTATTGGCTATTAGCGCACCCTCAGTAATCAAGAGTCCCAAGACCGCATAAATTTCCACTAAATCAGTGGGCAACCAGATTCTTGTTTTATTAGGATTTTTCCCATTTCAATCCTGAAAGTATTTCTCCGCTTTCTAGTTTTACATTTGACGATGATCTCTACAATTTTCTCATCTACAAATAATTTGAAGTAATCACTAATTTTAGCGACATTTTTAAATTTTTCTGTAAGCCCTGGTTTTTCCAGCAAGTTTTTTGTGCGACATTTAGTTTGTCGTAAAGGACGATTTTTCCAAACTGTATCATTCTTGGAAATAAATGTGGAATCTACTGCCCCCAAAACTGGTTCATCAGAATCAATACTGTCGCTCTCAGATGGCTAGAATATAATAAACTCAAGTCAAGATAGAAATATCGTACATAAAACAAAAATAAAAATTACCTGCAGAATTTCAGGCTCATATTCCGCTACTTCTAAATTATCATCTAATTCTGAATCATCCGATATACTATCTCTTTCAGAAAGGTAATCATCATCACTTTTCTCTAACCACTGCACTGCAGTTTCACGATCCTGTTCTTTCCGAAGGTCTAACTTTATTTTTTTCGACATATCGGTAAATCGTAGGTTTCTTCCAACTCGATACAAAACCGTTTTTGAACGGTTCGTGAACCGCGCAGTAACGAAAAATGTGTTACTGCGCATAATTATTCGCTATTGCGCATGCGCGCAACGATTCAAGAACGGATTTGTATCGAGTTGGAACAACCCTCGTGTAATCACAAATGGATAAACTAAAACAGTATATTAGCACTACAAGTCATCCACAGAACTGAACAACAGGTATGGTGCAGTATGCAAAACATCTGGTTTAGTTAGTGGCGTCGACCGCAATGAACTGTACCGCGGTTGACGGAGGGGGTACAACTTGCACTCCAAGCACAGTGCTGCACTTTTCATAGGTAAAAATATGTCAAATTGAAAATAAATGGTTGGATATGCTTTTACACATCCCAATGAAGAAGTAAAGAGAACAGTTAAACAAAATTCCAACATTTTTAAAAATTATTCATGAAAAATCGAATTAGGGGTACAATCTGTATCCCCCTCCGGTAGCGGAAGGTTAAAAAGCGAAGCGATTTGACTATGATAAAAAGTGAATTCATAAATCCAAATTTATAAAAGTCGTAATATGTCCAGTTCTAATCAATGACAATTGTTGTTTTTATTTAATTTCGGGTACGTAATGTCATAGATCTTGGAAATGCTTTTAGTTAACTTGTGAATTGTTTATTTAACCGAGTAATTTGGTTAAACATTTTAAAATAAATATTTATTTTGCACAATTTTCCTTTTCTCCTATTATTATTAGTAGAAAATACTATAAACTAATAAGAAACTAAAAAGTTTATTTATTATAAAAGTTATTTTAGTTTTAAATGATATATTTTAACAATAAATTTTTCAAAAATTAATTTTTTAGTTGTAAAATCGGGTAGAATACTTTGTGTGAAATATACTTACAAATATATTTCACAAAAATTAATTATTAAAAACTTTGTGTAGTTATAAATAAAAATTATGGAATAAACCTTTTTCTACTCGCTTACTAGTAAATTGTATATTACCTACTATTTGGATGCTAAGTAAATGCATCATAACAGATACTGACACGTAATGACTAGCACGTAATAAAAAAAATTACGCTTCAGTTTTATAAAAATGTGTAATATCACATAACCCTTGTAAGTCAGTTGGTCGAGTTACCATGGAAACGAATTAACAGACGTTATTTTGACAGATTAAAAATTATTAATCTGTCAGTGTAAATATAGTGGTAATTTAATTTTTATTTTTATAAACGAAAATAATGGTAGAAAAAGTATAGTACACAACTTGAGTTGTAAGCTTATTACATGCTTGTAAAATTACTGCGCTCGCCGCTACGCGGCTCGCGCGCAACTTTTTTACTCGCATGTAATAAGCTTCTTACAACTCTCGTTATGTAATATACTATTATACATCACTGACATATTACAATTTACGTACTCAATTTTATCATTTTTATTTATAGTTATATAAAGTTTATAACAATTAATTTGTTTAAAATATATTTGTAATATTTTTCACTCAGGAAACAGAATTGTATAATAATAAGGATAATTCAAGAAAAAATAATATGTATAGATATGATTTTCATTTAAAAAAATAATTCTTTTATAAAAGCTATTATATACAAAATAAATAAAATAAATATTTAATTGATATAAGGTTGAATGCTCGAATAAATAAACTTTAAAAAATTAAGGCACATATCGACCACAAATTTAATAATCGAATCTTGCCCAAGTACTTTCGCTTTCTACAGCACCATCAGGGGCATTTCGTGAAACTTGGGCTATCCATCAGGCGCAGAATGTAATAAACATGAAATTGAATATAAATTGTACATAACACTACACTAAAACAAGGACAAACAGTTTTAAACTAATAAAAATTATTCTACGCTCTACATTCGTGTCAGCAACAGGAGAGAGAATAATAATTAACCAACAATACAACAATATAACAAAAATAACTTCAAAAACTCTCATTTTAGAGGATTTTCCATTTTTTTTTAGGAAAATTGTGTCCAATTTTTATATAGATTACCGGTCTTCACCATTAGCATTTAAAATAAATAAATAGCGATTTTACATTGTTTATTTATTGTTTATAAGTATGACATGACATTTAATCTTTTGCATATTTTGATCATTACATATTGTTATTACCAAATTTACCAAAAGCGATTGTTAGATACCTGTATCAACAAGTATCACGAAAAAGTCTTTTATTGACTAATTTCTCTGGTCTATATTGTTGCATATTGGGTATTTACGAAAATCTTTGCTTTTTCCATTATACAAAATTGACATCAGTTTTATTTTAACTTAGGGGTACCTACTTCAATTAATGTAAAAACTTTAAATTTTAGTTTGCTTTTATTAGTAAGTATATTTCTATTGATTCTTCTGTATATGGTATTCAATTAAATTAAAGTACATAATAGTTAACTTTTAGTTTACTTTTATTTTAATTATACTATTAATTCATTTAAAACATTCGTTTAAATTTAGATCCTGTTAAATCCATAGAAGAAAAATTTTAAAACGTCGTCATTGTTGCTGGGTACAAAATAATACAAAATAGTAGCTAGTCAATCAAAAAAATATAGTTAAAATTTAAAAAACATAAAAGCTGTATATATATATATATATATATATATATATATATATATATATATATATATATATTATATATATATATATATATATATATATATATATATATATATATATATATATATATACATATATCGGGCTGAGAAGCTTGTACAAGAAAAGCAGATCCTGCATAGAGTTACGGGAAATAAGAATACTGATTATTAACGTTTTTGCATTACTATGGTGTAGAACAATACAAAATAAATTCAAATCAGATGGGAGAAAAACAAAGTCGAACGGTATCGTCGAACGAATCGAGATAACCGGTACCACAATATCACAATAGCTCTTCACTTTTTCAAAAAGATAAAAAGACGCTTTTCTGAGTTTTCTTCTTGTTTTCTTTAACCACTATATATATACAGGGTCATGTATGAAGAACTTATATATAAACACTAGGTCACACGGAGGCTCCTATAAGAAGTAACAAATGACCATTAAAAAGTATCTACTCCCATTGTTTAATCTTATACCGATTGAATTATGAATTTTTACTAAAACATCTAGTCGTAACTTTTGAATGGAAGTTGGTATTAACAACCAACTGAGTTGGTATCAACAGGTCCTCGAAGACAGTTTGTATCAGGCCCATCTAACCTATGTAGAGTCATACGTCTCCATGTTACCAATTCCAACGGTAACTTGAACATCTTAATTTGTAATAATGTATTATATTGTAACAAAACTTTAAATTAGCAACATTTAACGGGTTTTACCCATATATTTTAGTGGCTCATAGCATGTATACTTCGTTACACTGATGACGGATTTTTTTTTCCGAAAACGTTCTGTAATGTAATTGTGATATAGCCCGTTTAGGTATTTTATTATATACCTTTTATAAAGGATTTAAAATAAAAAAAAAATTACTTAAATAATTATTTAACCAATGTGATGTCCCCTTGGAGATCCACTCAGACCAAGGGCAAAACCTTGAGCCTATCCTCTTCCAAAACACTTGTAAATTTACTAGTGTCAATAAAACCAGAATGACACCCCCACATCTTCCATTAGATGGAATGGTTGAGAAGATAAACCGAACGATGAGCGCTCTTTGTCCAAAAACATCTGTCCAAAGTTTAAATTCAAATATCATCTAATTTATATGATTTGTAGGGAGCTGACAAAAATACGATTTTTAATATAAAATTAAATGATTAAAAAAAACTGCAAAATCTCAGGCTAGGCACTGGGTGTATTCTAACCACTGAATAGGATGTGATTTTTGTTTGTGAAATAATTATTTTTTAATAATCTTATTTTTTTTAGTATTCTAGTAAACAATTTGAACTTTTCTTAATTCATTGTAATATTAAAAAAAAATTCAAATTATATAAATTTAAGGTAATTCTTTATGTGTTTCAGGTGAAGTTCCTATTCAAATCGCAATAAAAAATTCTAACCTAGAAATTCTAAAATTACTTCTGGGAAGATCCACCACCAAAAGCATTAAGGATCATCGCAACTATACTCTTCTCCACTTAGCAGTAGAAGCCAAATCTAAATCAATTTGTCAAATGCTTTTGGCTAACGGACATGACCTCAATGCGAGGGACCATAACGGTTGCACACCTCTTCATTTGGCTGTTGAATTAAATTCTTTGGAAATGGTAGAATTGCTTTTAAAACATCAAGCGGATGTAAATCTGGTAGACTTTGACGGTTATACTCCTTTACACGTAGCCGCCAGGATAAAAAATAGTGGGGAAATAATAAACTTGTTATTAAAACATAATGCTAATACTAGGATTAAGACTGAACATGGGGATATACCTCTACATATAGCTGCTGGAGTCGGCAATATTAGGGGTTATATTGAATTGTATAATAAAAAAGACAGTACCGTCGTTAATGTTATGGGACTTACCCCTGATAGTCTAGCTCAAAGTCAAGGAAATACTGTTATTAATCAACTAAATATTGAACTGGACAAGAACAATAACTCCTATACTCAAAAAATTCCCATTTATAAGGAGCTAAGAAAGTTAAGAAAGAAATAGTGTAATAGTTTTTAAACGTATTTTAAGTGTTTTTTTTATTTTTAAAAAATTTATTCTTTAAATATATATTTTTAAAACAAATATTTCTCAAATAATTAAAATTCAGATTTATCTCTAATTAAATTACTTTTACTGAGAATTATACCAAATAACAGAATTATACCAGATACCTAAAAAACGCATTACCAAATTTCACAGATGCTTTAGTTTTGTTATAAATAAATTTATTTACGCCATTCGTCAGAGACAAAAATTTCACTAAACATTTAAAAGTCATAAGAACAAGCTTAACTTCGCTCAGAATGTTAATTTTGGGACTCTACTCTCTAAAAAAAGTTTACTACTCCTACCCCTCGGCTTTCTCCAAACAACTACCACTCGTAGGATAGGAAAACGAAAAAAGTCAATTTACCAGGAATCTGTAAAATCTGCCGTAAAAAATATTTACAATAAAAAATGTAGCTGAGATAATTCTTAACAAAATTGTTTTTAAGCATAAGTTTTTTTGTAAAATGGACAGTTCTCTCAGACACAACGCTAGCAACGACTCACTTATGTCAGCAAATCACATGAAATCAAACGCACGATTAGCTTTTTTAAGGTAAAGTTTTAAAGGTAAAGAGTTAGGCTTTTTTTAGGTAATTTTTGCATTTTATCGCAACTGAAGTCAGTTTCTATACAATTGTTTACTTACTAAACATTGCACGATTTATGCCATTTTTTCAGAATTTCCATAAGATCATTAAGGGAACTGTAAAGTTAAAGAAGGAAATATCCTAAGTGATACAGCCTCAATAATGAACTAATGTTTTAAATTTTTCGACGCAAAATTTAACAGCCATTATATTAAAGAAGCAGATAACCTCGTAGCAGGTCGAAATAATTGGAATCTATTAAACGTAAACAAAAGACCACCTACCACTGAAGTGGTTATCCATGCCTTTTGTCTGACAAACTGAGACCTTGCCCTGTGAATGGGGCATTGCAAGATTCCACTAAGTACCTAAGAAGCTGTGCATTGAATTTTGGTAGGCAGAGGTGGAATAAATTTTTTTAGACATGAAATTACACGGAGCAAAACACCCTGACATCTTTCAGCTAAGTAGCGTACTATGCCAAAAGACCCCACAGTAGTGCCGGATTAACTGTGTTTCGGCTAAAATTTTAACCAACATTCCAGAGTCTCTAGTTTTGTTGCTGAAAATATTTCCGTGATTGCATAAACCCATTTTGGTACTTACCGGTTCTTGGCTCTGGAGAAAAATGAAAGTAGATTTTAGATCCCTGGTTTCGTTCTCTTCTCGGTCCTCCTTGTTTGTTATGACTTCAGAGGTCAAACAATGTGCTTCTTTTAATTTTTTTTTCTCCTTTCATCATTAGGTTTACTATGTTTCTTTTATCTAGCCTGAAATCCATTTGCCTTTCGAAGTCTCCCCCCTCATTTGCGTAACCTCGTTACGAACCCTACCTATCCAGCTTATTTGCAGAATTTTCTAATACAATTAGGTTTCAACAGCTTTAAGTTTTCTTAGAAGTGTATCTGCTAAAGTCCAACCTTCGACACCATATAAAAGCATAGGGAACACGTATTACGAGAACACAAGATTGTTTTTACTTTAAAAATGCAGCTCTAGCCTTCTCTATAGGTATTTTAATTTCTTCTCTCATATCCTAGTTCTTATTTAGATTACAGCCAAGCAAAGTGATACTGTTAAAATGCCAAGAATTGTTATTCGCTAAAGCAATTCGCTAAAATTCGCTAAAGTAGATTTAGATTTGGAGATATGGTCGATTAGTCATTCTTCTTCTCGAGGAATAAGATTGTGGTTAGTGAGATGCAGATTTTATATAAGTACCTATATTGGGTGTTAGAATTTTACTACTGTGGCCTCAATTTTAGTTTGTAAAGAACAAAATAGAAATACCAATAAGGAGGTAGCCCTCAAGATATTAGAATATAAGGAACAGTAAACATTTTAAAACTAAGAATAGCAAAAAAGTTCGAAAAACAAGTTTACTATAATAATTATAACAGATCTATATTACAGAGTCTTATTTAATACATATTTTACAGTTATACGCGAGTAGTTAATATTGTTTAACGAGTACTATATAGCTTATTTTCTTTATCACGTGAATTTTTAAGCAAATCAATCAATTTGGAAATCAATTTAATACATTATCTGTAAATATTCAATAAAATATATTATTTTCATGTGATATTTTCCTTTGCCTTGTTTCGCCTTTGGCCTTCGTCAATTCAATGTTGCATTATAAAAAATCCTTTTAACTTCGGTAACTCGAAAAGTTAAATCTGCAGAAATAGAGAGCTGAAGTTGGTGAAATTTTAATACAGTAATTTTGTTTCCACTGGTTTTACTTCTTCAGAAAACTAAAGTTTGAATTGCTTTTTAACGAATTTTGATGGCAGGGAAATAATCATATACCTCGAATTGAATTTCCTGCGGAAAATACTTTAAGATTCTTTTGTTGTGTGGAATATTGGTTTGAACGCAGTAAAAATATGTGCTGCTCTTGTATAGAGCAACAATACATCGTCGAAAGTTAGATTTATATGGGTAAAATACACCTCAAGATAATCGCGTATATATTAAATACCAGTATTATTTGCTTTATGATAAAAAATAAGGTAATTTATATATCTACTAAATAAAAAAATTTGGAATCACAACAAATAAAATTGATTTTTATTTTAGCACACGAACGACTAAGACGTGTGCCAAGTACAATCAAAATCCATTTTGTCTTCTCAGTAGTAATTAGTTAGAAAATGCGAGATAATCAGGTTTGTTACAACAAAATGTTCCCATGATTTTTTTGCATAATTACTTTCATAAGATACTTTAAAATACGGTTCAAGCAGTTGCCAGACAAAAAGTTGTTCAAATTTTTAGAAACAATTTGCTTTTAACAAATTGTAACAATAAATTTATTGAGCTCAAATATTTCTTTACGTTTTATAGATCAATATTAACAGAAAAGATCAGTTGTAAGTTTTAAAACTGAAAAAAACACAAAAGGACGATTTTTAATGCTCAAAACGCTTCTATCACTAACCACTAATTTTTATTAGCCATATTAGTATATTAAGCATTTTAACCATAGTCTATAGCTCATAAATTATCACTATATCAGTTAGACCCACAAGACGTCCACCAGTGTCACTTCTCACCCAGTAAACAGCAAGGAGTAGAGATGGTAACCAAACTGGCATCCTGTCTCTCTTTGAACTCTGGTCCAAAGCTGGTCTCTTCCAAATTTCTTGGACCACGTTATAATAGTTTTGGATTACCCCAGGGATCAGTTATAAGCCCCTTTCTTTTTAATCTGTATACTGCTGATTTTCATAGCCTTAATATACCGAGTATCACTTAAAAAGTAATCCAATATACTGATGACTTCCTAATCTAAACAGAACAAACTAAGTATAAACTCTCCCTTACAATCTTAAGAAAATTACATGAACATTTCTCAAACTGGTTTTGTGAAAATGGTTTTAAGTTATCCACTAATAAATCAAACGTGTGTATTTTTTCACGACATAATATTTCTAACATAAATAGTATTTTATTAAATGACTAAATATTTCTGTAAGTTAATAAAATATATCTAGGTATGTTTATATATCAAAAGTTAACATGGAAAGTACACATCCAGCATATGCTTAACAAAAGCAATACAGGTCTCAATTTTTTAAAATCAATTTTTAAAACTTGGGGGGGTGCTGACGTAGAAACAGCTTTGCTTTTTTACAAATATTACATGAGATCCATTCTGGAGTATGGAGGTGTACTTTATGGATCGGCAAGTAAACAAATTTTAAACAAAATTGATGTACTTCAACGGACTGTTCTACGTACCTGTATAGGAGCAATGAAGTCTACTTCAATAACTCCAATGCATGTTGAAGTAGAACCTCCTTTAAATCTTAGACGAGATTATCTAAGTGAAAAATTTGTACTGAAAAATTCATATATCAACAATTCCTAATATTTTGGCATAAGATCACTAAATACAGATGATTTAACAAACACTTACTGGACTCATAAAGATTTTCCAATCCTTTGCACTGGCTTTAGAGCCATGCATAATAATAAGTATACCAACAGTATTAGCAACCTTGATATTAACGACTATTCTGCATTTTTTAATGAAGCTGACATACACATACACATATCAACATACTATAATACTCCATTATTAGATTCATGCATCTTAAATTCTTATATAAAAAAATAACTTAAGGCAACTGTAATATATACAGATGCGTCCAAAACATCGAAAGGGACCAGATGTGCTTTCTACATTCCATGCAAGTCAACAGAAAAATGTTCAAACTACCTCTCAATTGCTCAATTTTTAGTGCGAAGCACGTGTAATTCTTGAAGCCTTGATATATTTTGACAGTTAAAACAATAACGCAGTTTTCATATTATCCGATTCATTGTCAGTCTTATTATTTCTCAAAAATACAAAGTTACCCAATTATAATTCTAATTCTTTTATTTACCAAATTAATAACATGTTTGTCAACCTTAAAAATAAAAATATAACTACGAACTTTATTTGGGTAAAAGCTCATGTTGGTATAAAACATAATCCATTAATCCACATATTAAACAAATCTTTGGAATGCTTCCTGGCAAACTTTTTGCGACCACTCAACAACACAATACGTGTATATACAACCACACATCGCTAATTCCAGATGGTTTAAGAAATTTAACACCGCCCGAAAATATACAACAACTTTACTAAGATTGAGATTTGGCCTTATCGCAAAAAGTTTAATAGCACAGTCATAGACAGAATGCAACATGCTCTGATTGTAGTTGTTACAAAATGAACTTCAAATTTTGAATATCAGTTCTCTAAAGTCCAAAATCACGAAAATTATCAGAAGGAAAGATTTACATGAATTGAGCCTTTTAAGCCTAAATGGCATACGTTTAAGTCTGACAAGTAGAGTAAAGTATCTTGCGATGATATTAGACTCAATACTTACCTACTTGGAACAAGGAAATAGAATAATTTACCAAAAGAGCATTCAGTACGTTAATAAGAGCCAGACGCACTTATGGAAAATGTGTGCAGGTGCAGGTGCAGAAAAGGTACAGGGAAAAAGTTCCATCTTTCAAATTAAGCGAAGTAAATGATGATTTCTGATCATATGAGAACCAAATGCAAGGTTAAAGTACCGTTCCAAATGGAGATTTGCTAACAAGAGAAATCAGACAGAATCTTGACACAGACTGCGGGTTTGTACCTGGTATATCGATGGATCCTAAACTGTTGAAGGGCCGTGTGCAGGAAAATTTAGTAGTAGTAGATATTTCAACATTTCTATTTTACTAGGAGAATACACCCTTTATTACAAACAGAGAATTTTGCAATCTTGCAGTGTGCAAGAAAAATTAACTTGAGGGATTTCGAACTAACGCGAATCAATGTATACACAGATAGTGAAGCAGCCATTTTGGCTCTCATAAACCCCAAAGTGTACTCTAAATTAGTTTGAAAATACCCGACAGACTGGCGGAATATAACAGTGTTACATTGTATGA